CATGTGAGACGTTCGTTGAGAATTATAGCGTTTGTTATAGAGCGACTGTTGAAATTAAGTGTATCGCAAAGTTGTATTCAGAGAGAATAAGCCGGTTTTATTTAAGAAAGGACTTGTGTCGCTAAAGTTTCGTCGGAACGAATTTACGAAAAATTAACTAACGATTGGAGACGTAACAATATTATCAAATTATTATTAAAACGTCTAAATGAGAAAAAACTGAAATAAGAATAATCATAATATTGCATCATTAAGTCAGAACAAAAGTTTTTAGTGATGTATTCTATAATCTTAGACCACCTATGTCAATTATCATTCTTAATTTACACATTCAAGGGAGATAAATCCCTAGATTATGCTAACTTATAGAAATCTCTGTGCCACTCTGACTCGAATACGACTTTCACTGAGGAAAGTTGAAAAAGAAGCGTGGATTGCCTTTAAAGATGTTATTGACAATTTTTTAGGAAACAACAAGGACCCAAATTACGAAAATATTATCAATAACATGCTCGATAAATTCAAGGAGTTGGGTTGCAGTATGAGCTTGAAAGTTCATTTCTTACACACACATATTGACTATTTCCCTGAAAATCTCGGTGCCGTCAGCGAATAACAAGGGGAAAGGTTTCATCAAGACATATGGAAGGTGGAACATCAGCATGATGGTTGATTACTGCTGGTCATTGAAACGAGATGCTCCAGGCGCAATACATAAAAGAAAGGCCACAACACGTAGTTTTGAGTCTAAAAGACGTAGATTTCACACACACACACTAAAATCAGGATAAATGAGGATGCATATTCGTTTGACATCAGCGTTTTTCCCTTTTCTTCAGTTTGTTTGTATTTTTGTTAACAAACATAATGATAAAAATGTTCATTGTGGTAAACGAAATAACAATTTGACCTAAGTAAGAGTTTTTTTCTTCCCGATTTGTAAAAAATCCCCATGTGATAGAAAAAAATTAATATTATTTTCAAATTCTGCGTAACTGAATTATGTAAAATCTATTGTTAAAAGCAAAACAACTTTTATTAAGTTTAAATTCGCAGGCCTGTGATATTCTCTGACTTGTTTAAGCCGTCATGTTGTTAAGAGGTTGCCCTAACGACCTGCAACAGCTACATTGAGAAATTATCCATACTATATATGACTCGTAAGAGAATGTTTCTGTGAGGTTACGAAATAGCTACTCTGTGCACCCCGAGATCCGTTGATAACCGGTATATTGCACTCTTTGTTGCAATGTTATCGATTTTCTTTTGATTGTTGTGAAACAGAAACAACTATGTTATACAGTAAGCTTTTGCTTATCAGTAACGAAGGAAAGTAACTGTACTTACCAGATTTGGACTGATTGTGATATAATACTAATAGTATAGTACTGTATGATACAGCGTATGAACAAATTATTTTCTTTAGGCTGAATAATATTAATAAGAGAGGGATCAGAAAATAAAATTAAAAAGGTAAGATCTGTCTTATAAATATAAGTTTTATTGTGATGATATTGATAATAACATAGTCGTACAATACCTATTAGTATTACATTTGATTTAGCCTAGTCCGATACGTGAAAACAATAAAAAGTGGAAAAAACGTATACCAAGTTATACTTTTAACTATAAGTAATAGTAATGGTACTACTACTAGTATACCACGAAAAAGGGCTAATGTTAAATCGATGTTTTATTTTAAATTTAATATTACAGCATATAATCTCATTTGATCAGTTTATGACATATACTATGAATTTTGTGACATATTTATTTCTTTTAAGTTAAATTACTTACAATGCTTGAACACTATCTATACTATAGTATAGACTACAGGACGTCCCAGCCCGAAACGTTGTAAACATTGATTGAAACATCCATTTAACACTAGCCATTTTTCGTGGTATAACTTTTTTTTTATTTCATCGTACCACAGAGGTTTTTTTAGCTGATTATTCCGATATTTTGGCTAACACTAACTGTAATAATTAGGCTACTTTCATAAGTTTTGGTATGAATAGTAAAAATAATTTATTATCAATTTAATTTAAAATGCTAGACCTTAGGCTAGGCCTACAGGCTACAGTTAACCGTACAAAGACTGAGTATTACTATTAGCCTTAATTAAATTTAATACTTAGACTTTGGAGTTTTACAACTTAAATTTACAGTTACACTGAGTAACAATATGACTGTCAGTTTCAACTATTTCTGAGATAGGTGAAACCGAAATTCCGAAAGTCAAATTGTTAATATAATGCTTGGAGACGGCTTGAATGGGTAATGAAGAAAAACTTTAATATAAGTTTAACATAACAGCAAATGTACAGT